CCTAAAATGAAGTCAAATAATAAAGTTTCTCAATCTAAACTAGCATCTGGAATCTCTTCTTGTCAATGTATAAGAAAATGAACCACATTTACCTCTTTTTATTAACTTGAGCTTGGATGGAAGAATTTACAGCAGAGATATGTCTTTCCCCAGCATTCCCATTTCCTATACATGAAGAAAATACAAAGCAGAGAACAATCAGGAAGCCATAGGAAAAAAGTAGTTAATGGGAGAAAAAACTTCCACTATCAGCTAGCAAATCGTGCAAGATAAAAAGATTAACCACAGATGTAGCTAATGGCCTATGTACCATAATGAGTAACTGACATGCATACAACACAGATACAGATTATCAATTTTGAGAATCATTATCACACTTGAACAGGAAAAGTTAGGGATACATTTTATCAAATGAGAACAGGCTAGGCAGAAGTAGCAGAGAATATTCTACCACTCTGTAGGATGACTCAACAAGACCAAGGAAGGTAACAACTATATAGGTGAGGAAAAAGGAAAGCGAATCCACAAAACGATAGATAACTCAGTATCTGTAATACCAGTGATATGTGCACATGAGTAAGATCCCCATATAGTGTAAACAGGAAAAAAAAAAAAGAAAAAATGCAAATTGGAGTGCAAAGGATTCTCCAAGCAAAAATTTTCAATTTGTTTACTATACAGAGAGAAGACAACATTCAAATAATGATAATTCTGTTAGTTAAAATCTCTTGTGAACAATTTATTCATCACATGAAGCGAAGCTGTAAATGTGAAAAAGCAGACAACAGAATTCTTGCACTTGTGATAGCATGCAAGAGAGTATATCTACTTTCAGCCAAATAAAGATCATAAAACAAAACCTCTTCTTCACCACAGACAACAGAATTCTTGCACTTATGATAGCATGCAAGAGAGTATATCTACTTTCAGCCAAATAAGGATCATAAAACAAAACCTCTTCTTAACCATATATCAGGGCAATTGAAGTTTCTTTTAGCATTTTGCATTCTATCGAACTTGGGCTTCAGAAATCTGGAAAGAATTACATCGAAGAAAAGAACAGCTTTAGAACTAATAAATTCCCTGACGATAACAGAATAAAGAGATAAAGAGTACAGACCAGCATACCCATTTCGTGGTGATTCATGTTTTGAATTCCTCTTACAATTCTTGTGGAGAGGACTTTTTCCATTTTTCCTCATCATACAAGTCCCCATTCCATTTTTGAGGTCACCCTGCAAATGCTTCTGATAATTAAGATCAGTAGAGTTAAAAAGTATCAGTAAATAACTCTGCAAAATGAGCTATTTCCGTATAGACCATTCCTCTATATGCTGGTGCTTGAAACGAAGTGCTAATACAAGCTCACTATGATTTTCTCATTTAGTAATCATAATTCATAGGGACCTAATACAACAGTGGAAGGACAAAAGATCAAGCAACATGGAAAATAGCAGGTCGTACATGGTAATCACAAATTATATGCACTACACCTACTATATACAACTTTCACGTGCAGAAAACTCAATGGACCTGAAATTTTGAAGGCTGAGAGTGGAAAATTGTCTGATTTTGGGAGGGAGGAGTGCGACCAAAGCCCTGCACTGAACCTGAAATCCCTTGCAATTGCTGAGTAGCATTATGTGTCCCATTATTAGAGTTCGCCATCTGTTGCACAACACCACCAGAACCCACAAAGCCCAGCTGGGAATTCGCCGCAAAGGCAATATTTTGAGGAAGACCAATTCCAGCAGGCCGGGTATTCCCAACAAAGGCAAGATTCTGAGAAAGATTAAGATCGGAAGGCTGGGTGTTCGCAATAAACGCAGAATTTTGAGCAAGACTAAGGTTGACAGGTACAGCTTGAGCGCTGAAATTTGACATTTGCAGTTGGAAAATTCGATTCATATCTGGATGCATTTGGTTTGGGAAGCCCAAATTAAGATTCTGACCAAAAATTTGAGGCCATGATTGAGAACTGCTCCTATTATTCATTTGGTTCATAGCAACGGGAAAATTCATAATTTGGTTAGGACCAAAATGGGCACTTGGATTGCTGAATGGGATGCTTGCTTGAGGGTTGATTAACCCCATTTGTGGCTGAATTTGAACAGGGTTTGGGGCAAAATTACCGGGGTTGTTACCCAAAACCTGCTGATAAACATTTTTTCAACAATTTCAAGAATAGCCCACACAATATTACAAGAATAAAAGGCATATAAAAAATTAGAGCAGATAAATTCACAAACAGAAACATAAACAATAGAAATAATCAGCTGCAGAGAGAGATAGATAGGGGAAAGACCTGTTGAGCAGCCGAAGGAGGGTTGGCATTAGCATTGGGCTGGAAAGGGAAGTGGTTGAAGAAAGGAAACATTGGTGATTGATTAAGTGATCAATTAGGCCAATAAAAGAACAATTCTGATTTTGGAGGTTTATGGGGAAAGATTACTACTGATTTTGCATGATTCAACTAGAAAAGAGTGTAGAGACTTTTCTCACAGGGTAAGAGCGGTGGAGCACCACGGACTCGAAGGGTTTAAGCCATACAAGGGCTTTAAGGGACCTCGGTTCCTCTGGTGGGGATGTGGCAATCGGGTGAAAAACGGATTGACGGTCAGAGTTGAGGCTCAAATATAAGTATATAACAGAAAATCTGTGTACCTGAAGGCGTCCTGCCAAACTATGACGGATCAGGATACCTGACAAGTTTTGGAGTCGGCGGGTTGGTGGGTCATCCGAATGACCTGATATGATTTCAAACATAATTTTAATTTATTAATTTATTATTATAATTTATAATAGAATCAATTCTGCACAAGACTAATTACATAATCAAATAATAAAAATCTTAATAAAACAATCTCACAACAGATTTGAAATAAATTAAAACACTGTAAAAGTGTTTTATCACAAACTAGATTTAAAATAAATTAACACACTAAAAAAGTAGAAAATAATATAATACATTATTTGTCCAAACATAATAATTTTAACTTCACATAAGTTAAACAAATTCATTTAGGATTAAGTGATTAATGCCATTGGGAAAATAAGAATAATTTAGTTTAGTTAGATAACATATTTTATATTTATTAAATTCTTTTTAATTCATAAACGAGTTATCTAGTCAACCCGTGGGTGATCTAAATTCGACCTATTTTCTTTTCTGGTTCATCAGGTTCAATCCGATTCTGATCCGAACCTCTGAAAGCTCAACCAAAATCTATTCATTTTGTATTAAATTCGTGTCATGTTTTCCGTCGTATTGAAAAATTGTCCCCTTTGTGAGGACTCGAAAATTTTATTTTATATTTTTCTTATAATTTCCCTTATTTCGGAATAAGTTAATTTATACTTCTTTTGATTTCATTCACTTGCCCTAATTTCTTGAATACTTGATGATTGTGTCAAGAGTTTATCTTTTATACTTCGGTACATGTTAAGTTTCATGGTATTAGCGAGATTGTAACGATTTTTAGTGGAATGTGTGAAGAATTTAGTGGGAGAAAAGGAGTATAGTGCAATTGGAGAGAATATAAGCTAAATGAAAACATTAAGGAAAAACTTGACAAGTGTTATCACTGGAACCAAGAGTTATTAGTTAAAGACTTCAAGGGCTAAGTTGACCTTATCATTTCCATTTCTTGTCTTGTAAAAAAGAAAACAAAAACACACAAGGGAGAGAGAGAGTGGGGGGCTGAAATTGAGGAGGAAAAGGAGAAGAAAATTTCATCCAAACTAGCTTCCATCTTGCTTAGTTGTGGGAAAAAGAAAGGAGACATCTTGGAGTAGCCATCAACCTTGGCATAAGGTTGGAAGGGTAGAAGACTTGTGTAGACATCAAAATTTTAATTTTTATTTAATTCAATTTTAGTTTTATTTTTTATTCTTTTTTTATTTTATTTTAATTGATTAAATGATAGTTAATGTTTATTTTTGCTTATTTTTATAAATTAGGTTCATCATTTTTATTTTAAGATATTTTTGCATTAAATTTCTAAAAAGGAAAATTCTCACAAAAATTCAAAAAAATTTGTTTTTAATCTTCTTAGATTCAATTTCTTTAAAATAAATGAAAATTTTGCAATACAATTGCCTTTAGGAATTAACATTCTTGTTTACCTAAATTGATTTTGAAAAATAAAAATATAATAAATAAATAAAAATACGAAGATAGATGTGAGACTTGCATATTGGACAAGTGTATTAAAGGAGTATTAGCACTACAACAAAAAAGGGATTTGGCAAGGAACAAAAGTTCTCGCCAAAAGTTTTGACTTCCTCGCCAATTAATTTTAGCAAGGAAAATGCTTCCTCGCCGAGTTTCTCGCTAGATGCTCGTCGCTAAAAGTTATTAGCGTGAATGCTGCTGCCTTTCTCACTAATGGAACAAATCAATAGCAAGGGCAGACCTCCTCGCTAATTGCTCGAATGCTATGGCAAGAAAAACTTTCCTCTCCACTAAAGTCAAAAACTCCCCACAAAAACCAGTGGTTCCTTGCAAATATTCAAGCTGTTTTGTGAGGAAATAGTGCATCCTCACCAATAATATAGAATTGGCAAGGAGCTTTTTGACAAATCTGCAATCCCCCATACCAGTAAAACATTTTTGGCCAGGAAAGTTTCCTCTCTAACAAGCGATAGTTGATTCTTGCCTAACTATTCGGTGGGAAAATGTTCCCCTCCAATGCTGTTGTGAACATTTCTTAATCCCATTTTAATATGCTAATCTTAATTCCCTGAGCCAATTATGGAGTGGTTTTGTTAGAAAATTTAGCTGCAAATAGCTTAAATTTGGCTTCTCATGTCTGTTGTACATTTTCGAGTTTCTTATAAGTATCAAATTGTTTGGAATTTTTTTTATGAACATCACCAACATAGATGCTCATCAAATTTAAACTCATAAGCCCTGGTATTTGATAGTTTTATGGAATATCACCTGGTCCCAACAACTCCCTTTTGCTAAACATTCGATAAAGAACATACAAAAGCTTTGGTTAGCTAAAAATAATTGCTAGCAGAGTAATACATCAACATCCGGCTTTTTCAATATCTTGAGCCATACAATAGGAAGTGCTTGAAACCAATTGGCAATCCAAAATTGTCAACTATCAATGAGAATATATCCAAAAGAAACAAAATATTAATACCTGAAATCAGGTTTTACAATAAGTGCACAAAAAGCACCTAAACCCAAACGACCCATGTTGGAATAGAGTTTAGTACAAATGTAGAAATTAGTAGAATGGAACTGCAACTTCAACTTCAGTAAATTGCAAGCCGGTATTGTGATTCCATGAATCCTGAAATCACCCCCAAGTCCTCTTGCCTCTGACACTTAGTTTGTATACAGAGGCTGACCTGTTCCTTACACTTGTAGGTAAGTTCAGAAGAAGGCATTCAATCGAACTAACCTGATGTGGCTCCATATCAGCATTGCCCCTCTTTAAATCTCACTTGATGAAGCTGCACAAAAAGGGAAGATTAGATTAGATGGAGAAATTTTACTGATTGCATATGAAAACAGGTTTAAACAAACGAGGAAAAACGGAGAAGTTAACCTCAACCAACCAGGAACTAACTTTTTAGTATGTAAACAGAGGCTGACCTGTTCTTTACACTTGTAGGTAAGTTCAAAAGAAGGCATTGAACTAACTTGATATGGCTCCATATCAGCACTGCCCCTCTTTAAATCTCACTTGATGAAGCTGTACAAAAAGGGAAGATTAGATTAGATGGAGAAATTTTACTGATTGCATATGAAAACAGGGGCTTAAACCAACTAGGAAAAGCAGAGAAGTTAACCTCAACCAACCAGAAAACAAGATGAAAATCAGAGGTTGTTAGCGTAAACCACAACCAATCGAAAAATACAATCTTTGAAATTAAGCACAAACCCACATAATTTACCTTCACAGAGTCTAGAGAATGGTTGGAACTCAATTTTCCTAAAATTGTGAGGAAAATAGTGCAATCTTAGAAATCTAACACAATAATGGTAATAAGAATGCACAAGAAGGATATGAAGATTCACGAAATGGCACCAAACTATAGATCTAACAGTATTTGAAGCAAATGGATGAAGTATTGAAGTTGCTCTGAGGTTTTCTTACAGCAATAAAACTTAAGCTCCTTCACGTTTTGCAATTCTTAGGAGATAGACAGGAGGTGGGCCTTCATTTTTTAGCAATTCCTCAGAGGTCTCCTTCACGTTTAGCAATTCCCGCATCTGTTCTTCCATTTTGGACTAAAAACCACCAATCTTGGCCTTTGAGAGAAGAACATATGCGTGCTTGATCAATTGAGAGAGATAAGTGAGGACCGGCCTTTCTATGTATATATATAATAGTATTATCCCTCTGCTGTAATGAGCCTTCAAATTTTGCCGGAAGGATGTTGCGGGAAAAATAAATTCTTGGAGGGAATAAAGCGCGCGTCCAAAATTCTGAAACATTAATGATGTTTTAAGTGTTGTAGTTAAAGTTTCTAAGAATCGGAGTATATTATATAGAATGAATATTGAGTGTTAGAAGTATATAAAAATTGAAAGAGATCATGTATGAGAAAATGAAACTAATGAAAATATTCTCAATATATAGCTAATCAAATTAACTAAGTTTGATAAATTTGCATTTAATTTTCAAATAAAGGTTTGTTGTATGATATGTAATTGCCATTTCTTGAAATTATTCCTCACTCTTATATTTTTGCTAAACTTCAAAGAACTTAACTACGTGTAAAATAGCATGAGAGGAATGCCTTCAAATGTGCTAGTCAATAAATATTTATATTATATTTGTGCTAATACATGTCCATTTCCATAATTCAAAAAATCTTATGTATTTCATATATGAGTTTTTTTTCAAGTAACTGTATAAAACACTTATAAGTGTTAATAATTAGATGATTTAATTTAATTGTTCTAAAGTCTTAAATACGAGGATAAAGAATAAAATTGGTATAGATGTACTATAATCTATGAAATTATAGTAAATTACTTGTAATTCCAGTTCCTCAACTTTTAAATCTATTTGTATTGTGACTTTGAACTATGTGTTATTTTGCTAAACACATATTTCTATGATGAACTTTTGATCATAATTTATTAAAAAGAATTTTGTGTAACAAGCGCTTTAGATTGCCTATCCATTTTTTTTGAATTGTTATAAAAATATGTAATTCTTTTATTAAGAAAAAAAAAGTCTTGTGTAATAGGCTTAATCTCTCCTCAATTACAAAATTGATTGAAATAATGTACTTTAGAAGTTTCATTGAGTATTAATAATTGTAAACCACTCCATTTTTATTATTCTAATGCCAACATAACAATGTGACTTTGAACTATATGTGTTTCGTGTAACAAGTGCTTCAAAATGCCTATCCATTTATTCTTGAATTGTTACAAAAGTATGTAATGCATTTATTAAGAAAAAAGTCTTGTGTAATAGGTTTAATCTCTCATCAATTACAAAATTGATCGAAATAATGTACTTTGGAAGTTTCATTGAGTATTAATAATTGTAAACCGCTCCATTTTTATTATTCTAATACAAACATAACAAATGTGACTTTAAACTATATGTGTTATTTTGCTAAACTCATATTTCTATGATGAAATTTTAATCATAGTTTATAAAAAGGAATTTCTGTAACAAGTGCTTCACAATGCCTATCCACTTATTCTTGAATTGTTACAAAAGTATGTAATTCATTTATTAAGAAAAAAGTCTAGTGTAATGGGTTTAATCTCTAGTCAAATACAAAATTGATTGAAATAATGTACTTTAGAAGTTTCATTGAGTATTAATAATTGTAAACCGCTCCATTTTTATTATTCTAATACCAACATAACAAATGTGACTTTAAATATATGTGTTATTTTTCTAAACTCATATTTTTATGATGAAAATTTAATCATAGTTTAAAAAAAGAATTTTGTGTAACAAGCGCTTCACAGTGCCTATCAATTTATTCTTGAATTGTTACGAAAGTATGTAATTTATTTATTAAGAAAAAAGTATTGTGTAATAGGCTTAATCTCTCCTTAATTACAAAATTGATTAAAATAAAGTACTTTAGAAGTTTCAGTGAGTATTAATCATTATATTTAGATAAGGTGGCATTGATGAATTACATATATATCCTTTGAATTCAAAATATTGTTTTAATAGAAGTGTATTGAAATTAAAAAAAAAAATCAAATGGCAAAATTGAAAAGTATGTATTTAATTTGAAATAGCGACTCTTATTTTAGAACATCAATAAAGTAAAAATATGATAACAACTACGGACAAAGGAAGTACATAACAACCATTTCATGAAATTTGAAGTTCTTTGACAGAGTTGTGAAAGCTAATGAACCATGTGTAACACTCTTTCCATGCCTGCATTGTTTGGCTGGTAGATATAAAATTCAAAACCATAAATACGCTTGATTTAAAGTATTTAGTCTATATGAATCTCCAAGTTCTATGTCTGAGACCAAACAATGATGCTAGTTCTCAAAGGACTTAATTCCCTTGAACTTAGTTTGAAAGAGGCAATTTATCAAATAACTGGTGGGATATAATAAACCTTTATTATTTTGCATTACTTCTAAAGATAGAAGCCCCAAAATTTTTGCAGCAAATTAACTAAATCTAGTGCTCCAAGCTCCAGATGTTCAATATACAACAAATACCCAACCAAGAAGATTAATGAGATAAAAAGAAAAACTTTACCAAAATTTCTGCACCTAATCGTTGAAAGCAGAGCTTTCCCAAGACCTGTGCAGAATGATCAATAAACAATCTTGTCTGGTTGATGACCATTTTTAAGCTCTTGATGAATTCCATATGCAGTAATGAAAATCTCCCGGTAAATTATATCCATCTCTCTATATGCATTTTCCAAAGGGAGTGGAAGGTTTCGTGCAAAGCCAGTCAAATCTTCTGATATGGCACAGTTACTTGGGATTTCATATTGACAGCACTGAGGGTTATGAAATCTCATGAGAGATTTATTCTATGGGCTAAGAAAATTGCCCATTTCTCTCTTAGACTTTCCCACTTTCATTACACGGCAAATTGAAACTAAAAAAAGCAACAAGCATAAACTAGGATGGAAAAAGGGACGTGTGACATTTAATCATAATTCAGCACCTATGCATGACCAAAAGTTGAAGTCATTACTTGAAAAATACATGAACAGCAATTGTGCCTTTCCAAAATAACTAGAGTTTATAACCACCGTTTAAAACAAACTTGAGCTTCCAAAAGGTCTTGTCACCTATTACATCCCAAACAAGCCACCTAAACATTTTAAACACTTTCACGGTGCCTTCCAGATTGCAACCTATCTCCAAATTCGCAATGTTAACCTGCACTAGAAAAATCACATATTAACAAGCTAAATTCAAGCAAAAAATTAACTGCAAGCATTTTTAGAATTGAATTACAGGACTTTTGTCAAGAAAACAAATTGCCACATAGAGCAAGTAAAACACATACCATTATACCTTTTAAACAAAAATAAGCATGGCTTCAAAATATTTTATCATCTACCACATCCAAAACAAGCCAAACTACAAAAACAATTCAAGCTCAAATGGCTCCTTCTAGATTGCACAGCCTATTTCCATCCAAAATCTCCAAAATAAACCTGCAAAACAAATATTTAATATAAGAGATTTTCCAAACATAATGAAATTTTTTACTAAAACCATTGTGCCTCAACTGCATTTCTTAGCACTAAAACTTCCAATGTATTTGGCTACCCATATATTGCTTTCCAAAATCACATATAGCTTGCATCACATCCATTCATCATTTTGTCACAGTGTATTACCAGAAATAATAGAGAACTGACTCTATGCATTCATATTAATTGAGATTCGTACTAACATCATCACACAGAAGCACAAATTGGTGACCTCATAAACTAAATTGTTTGAAAGAATGATAATACAACTAAATATTTTAGCTACTAATCAGGATTCAAAATTTAGAATATCTTACCTTGCTAATTTATAAAATTAGCTATTGGCATTAGCTACAGTCCTGTTTTTCACTTCTGCCATCAACCAATCTATTGACTCTTGTAGGTGCTGAAGTTGAGCTTGTTGTTCCTCAATTTTAGAATGTGCAGCCTCCAGTTGTGACTTTTGCTCAGCAACGATGCTCTCCATTTGTCTATCATTGCTGCCATTGGTTCCCCTACTATATTGCCTTCGAGATGGTGGTCTAACTCCACGAGGTTTCCCACAGATATAACCTGACTTTTTTTGACAAACTTGTTCAATTATCTCAACCTCAGACTTTGGCGGCTCATTTTCAGAAATAAGTTGATTTTTCAAATTAATCATTTCTTGCTGCAAGATATAAAATTTGTACCATAGTATAAGCTCTCAACTTAAAATATTTTTTATTGACAAATTTGTTTGATATGCATGACTTACATGCCTTTCTTCAGCAAGATGAGAGGACCATCCTTTTCTATTTCTGTATGCGATATCAAACAAATCAATAAGACTGGGTTTCTCATTTGTCTCTGGATTGGTCTGACAAAATAGGCAACATATGAATGCACAAATATGTTTGAAACTTTTCATTTTGACTGGATTTAAGAACTTCTGACCACCCCCCATAGTCACAGCAAATTGGTAATATAGGATGCGAGTTTACCATTTCATGACGTTTTTGTAGAAAAGACTTAGATCCCAGCTTGTGCACATACTCCAGATTTGCACGATTTAGTGCATTAGTTCTTGAACGAGTCTAATATACAAGGTATGATCTTGTCAAGAACTTAATTCTCTATGCATGAATCATTTTAACAAAAATTAATGTATAGATATTTACTTACCTTCCAATCCTCATTGTCAAAGATATTGTCACAGATCCAAACCCAATCATCCCTTCTCTCAAGAAAGTGGACAGGAGGATTGGCCCTTCCATTTGCACCTCCCCCCATACTTTTTGTAGTGTTGATGACATTTGTTCCTAAAATTTCCATACAGTCGTCCAAATTGATTCTTAACAGCATCTTGAACATGCGGCTTTGTCCAGTCCAAATTAAATGTGTCCTGTAAAATTTACAAAAATAAGTTTAGAAATTTGTAAATGATACGAAATGAATTAAATGTATCATACCACTGCACGTTCATAAAGATCCTCCTTGGCTGACTTGTCCATGGCTGTCCAATTCTGTACTCGTACTGGTGCATCTTGCCTAAGGATAAGACCGAGCTCTCTTGCAAAGCATGCACTCTATTCACCAACAGGTGCATTCTCATCTTCAGGTATTAATATTGGTGGTCTGTATTTTTTCACCTTCTAGATCTTGCTCCCTTCTTGCCCTTACTTCTTTCTCAAGCCTAATATTTCGATTGGGTCCACGCTTTCTAGGGGCTAACAAAGCTAAGAACAAGGTGAGTATGTAGAAATTGAAATTTTGCAGCAGTTTAGGATAATACTATCTGCTAACATCTACAAAACTAGGACATATTTATAATATCAACAAGGTTAAAATCACCTGCATTTGTTCCTGTTGAATTGGATGCATTATGGACCTGATCTGTATTATGTTCATTATTTGTTGATTGAGTAATTTGATTTGCCACTCTTGAAGCTGCATTGTGGTTAGCAGACTCATTTTGTGCTTCAATTTCATTAGCTGATAGCTCCTTTTGTCAAACAAACAAATGATCATGTCAGCTATGAACAGAGGTCTTTGCAAAAAAAAATGTAACTTAGCCGAAATAATCATATTGACATTATGAATATAAATGCAACATTACACCAACTAGGCAATTTTGAGAGGCAAAAAGATTAGTAGGTGGAGAAGATTACACCAACTAGGCAATTTTGGAAAGTCCTGAAGGATTGAATTGGAGGCTTGTTTGTTACTTGCTGAGATTGCAAAACTCTAGCCCCCACCTAGGATGAGATATAATATCATTAGCTATGATCTTCAGTAATAGAATAACAATCTTAATTGCTTAACATACAGGCATTAAATGAAAAACTTACTATAGCAGATTCCATGTCTATGAAAAGATTCATGACTGGTTCCATGTTTGATGTTCCATGAGGGATGTGGTTAGAGTTTGTTTCTCTCGGAGCTACCTGCTTTATAGACACAAAAACAACATATTAAATTTATTACACTAATGTGAGTAAATCTAAGCAATTGTAGGAAAGGTTTTAGTTCTCACCGTGACAGACTTTTGCATCAGCTGATCCCCAGTGCAAACCTTTGGTGCATTAGATGCCGGATTAGATTGTTTGCTTGCTGCAACTTTTTCAAATTGTCTTGCCCGTAACGCATTGCCTGGCATCTATATTAGACCACTATTAGTATCTCAAATAAGATTACAAGTATAAAGGATGCACCCAACATGCGAATCAAAATAACTTTTAACTATCATAAAAGTGTTATAAAACTAATAAAATGAAATACTACAATAGGAATTGAAGAAGTATTAGAGAAAAGAATAGAGAAAGGAGAATGATATCCTTATATTTCAACAAGATACAAAAGTCCTACAAAGGGTGTCAATGTACCTCTATATATAGGTACTACAAGATCAAAGGTACATAAATCCTATTAAACACTCACTACTACAATAATATGAAGAAACTTATGAAACGGTTTCTCCACTACATGAATAGATTTATGAATTGTAACTTCTATACATAATATAATCATAAAATTAAGAATTAATCATCTTGGGAATACAAAGGGACATCCATACTTTTAATTGTTTCATAACACTCCCCCTTGGATGTCCATTACATAAAGAATATGCCTCGTTAAAACCTTACCAGGGAAAAACCCATCGGGACAAAAACCCTAGTGAAGGAAAAAGAGTACACTATTCTTGTGTATTAATTTCTCCCCCTGATGCAAACATCATTTGAGATCTTTTAATCGTCGCATTCCAATATTCTTTGCCAATTGCACTGAGATATGGTACTTCAGGACCAAGTATCTCTTCATCTTCCTCTCACGATCTAAAAGGATCTTTATTAGGATCTAATGATCTGACGATCATTGGAATACTTAATATATGTGTCTTATCCATATAAAATCGCTTTAATATCTTCCGGGTATATGCAGTTTGGTGGACAAAAATTCTACATTTCAAATGCTCAATTTGTAAACCAAGGCAGAATTTTGTCTTTCCAAAATCTTTGATCTCAAATTCTTTTCTCAAATATTCAACATTAATTTGAATCTCTTCAGGAGTTCCAATCAAATTTAGATCATCAACATATACTACAATTATTACAAAATTTGATCCATTTTTCTTGATAAAAACACGTGAACATATTGGATCATTGGTATAACCTTCTTTAGTTAGACATTCATTGAGGCGGTTATACCACATACGTCTAGATTGTTTGACCCATACAGAGACCTTTGTAATTTAATAGAATAAATATCTTTAGAATTTGATTTGCATGCTTCAGGCATGTTGAATCCTTCGGGAATTCTCATATAAATATCATTTTCAAGATTTTCATATAAGTATGCAGTAACAACGTCCATTAAACACATCTCTAGTTTTTCATGTACTGCAAAACTCACAAGATATCTAAATGTGATAGCATCCACTACAGGTGAATACGTTTCATTATAATCAAATTCAGGCCTTTGTGAAAATCCTTGAACTACTAGTTTTACACCTTTAGGTGTTTGGACTACAAGTCCAAAAACTTTTCTTGTAGCCAGTGAGTCCAATTCAAATTGAATCGCATCTTTCCATTTTTCCAATCATTTCTATACCGACATTCATCAACCGATCTAGATTCATGATCCTCATCAACTTCTATAATATCAAGTGCTACATTTTATTAGGCTCCAATTAAATTTTTTTATGATTTCATTCTCTTCAGAAATTGGCTCTTCAGGAGCAACCTCTTCAAGAGGTTGAATTTTGTCATGACATTTAATCTCCGGAGATATTTGAAATCAATTTATACCTTATTTAGGTAGGCCGGCCTTAAATTTATTTGTAACACTTATGCATGTCCTTCAGGGACATCAATTTTTATCAAAGTATTTTCTGCAGGAATAGTTGATTTAATAACTCTTCAGGAGTCGATATATATCTGACAACTGGTTTGCAATTTTCTGCAAATGAATAATTTCTTGAACTTTCAGTTCACATTATTTTGTATGAGAATCGAGAAAATCCAATTTTTCAGGTGATTTCCTTTCGGTTGATTTCTTCCTCCCCCTAATGTCAGGAATCGTAACTCATCAGAATAAATAAATCATTTAATAGATCATTCATCAAATATTTTACGATATTTAATCGTAAAAAGTGATTCATACCCAACATAAATTCTAAATTTCTTTTGGAGCCATATATAATATAAAGGGGGTATGTATAAATACTTGTCGGCTCTCAAATATTCTCACTTTTGTCAAATCATATATCCATTGGGATCAGTAAACTTCTGGTTTACTGCAATTGATGATTATAAATGAGAATGAAGACAACTATATCGATAACCTTTTCTCCCTCGAATGATTATTATAATATAATTAACCTTTATCTCACTTGATTTCTAAATATGATCTTTATTATTGTCTCATTTAATGTCTCAATTTGATATCCATTTCAACGGATATTCAAATTCAATAAATTTTTCGAGACATGGTAAAAAGTAGTACTTTATTCATGATAAACTTTTTTCCTATAGGGAGAAATATAGTAGTGGCTCTTCTGGAGCTTTCAATCACTTAAGCACTAACACTAATTGTGTTTGTCTCTTTTTTTGAAAAATAGTGTATATAGTAACACTTATTAATGAGACACATATCATTATCACCATAATTCTTATGGGACAAATATCATCACGATAATTCTTTGATCCCAAATGTTTAACATCTATTTCTTCTTCAGGAAGAAAAACTAATTAAATCAATCATCATACACCTTCAGGGTGTTTAAAGAAATTGGCCATGTAAAAATGCTATTATAATTTTGATTCGTCAAATGTACTTCGGGACATTTATCTTTAGGACCTTTATTTTCGTGTTCTTATCATTATTATCCCACTTCAAGTGGTAACTTTTTCTCTTGTCATGGTAAAATATATATTTACCAAACTCATAATCATGGCAACAACCATAACTAATAAATTGAAATTTAGTCGCATTCACTTATGGGAATGGACTAGAACTAGCATGCAATAAGTACAGAATACTTCTCAAATTTCTCTTAATATTGCTACTACAGGAGCATATTCGAGAAACCAATAGTGGAGAATATCATTTTCAATTAAGAAATAATTCTAAACATAGTAAAATTGTGTACTTGCAGCCATAAGTAAATTTATCATATCAGATTTTGAAATAATGACCATTTTCTGGTGGCAAAATATTTTCATTAAAGAACGACCATCTTCAGGTGATCGAATCTTTTTCTTTAAATATTTCAAAGGACAAGTAGATCCTCAAATATAATTGATTTTCTATAATAGTATCTCCAAAATTCATTGCATCAGAATATAAGTATTTATAACAAATAATTCTAAAGATAAATAAGTAGAATTAAAGGGAGAAATATTACCTCAAAGATGTCAAACAGTATATATTTGTGTTTAATGATTGCTCAGCAATAGGCACTTGTATTTTTTGCGATAATTTAAATGTTAGCCATAAGAAATTCACATAAGTTTATGGGTCAGAGATTTACCTCAAAAGTTACTTGAAGAAATATGGGCAGAATTTTGGCAAAACCTTGTGTTTCACTTTTGTTCACGGTAGAGGCTCCGTTTTCACCTTTTACTCAAAAATAGAGACTCGTACTGATAACGTGTTATAAAACTAATAAAATGAAATACTACAATAGGAATTGAAGAAGTATTAGAGAAAGGAATAGAGAAAGGAGAATGATATCCTTATATTTCAACAAGATACAAAAGTCCTACAAAGGGTGTCAATGTACCTCTATATATAGGTACTACAAGATCAAAGGTACATAAATCCTATTAAACACCCACTACTACAATAATATGAAGAAACTTATGAAACGGTTTCTTCACTACATGAATAGATTTATGAATTGTAACTTCTATACATAATGTAATCATAAAATCAAGAATTAATCCTCTTGGGAATACAAAGGGACATCCATACTTTTAATTGTTTCATAACAAAAAGGACACAAAAAGCAACTGATAATTATTGTAATACACAAAATAGATCTTTTTCATGAAACAAGAGTGGTACAGATACACTTCATTTTTACAAAAAAATGTCATAAGTCACTCTATGTCACTGTCAGAACTAAAGCTCAAGTAAGGTTCTTCTTCACTTTCTCTTGTGCTTCTTGACTCTTCATCAATCATCTCATCATTAATGAAATCATCCAACTCATTCTCAGCTTCGTCACTCGGTGCATTATCCTCTAAATCAATGGTTTCTGGGTCAACATCAGTTCTGTCCAATGAAAATGCTTCATAGTCTTGAACTTCAAACATGATTTCTGAACACTCATTCTGTTGGTATGCTTCATGATTACCAAATGCATCTTCAGGATCATTTTCATCAGTGGGTTGGAAAAGTGATGGATCCCATATATGTCTGTGATCTGCAACAAGAGCTACATGCCAATCTCCACCCAATTTTGTGTCCTTAACATAGAAAACTTGGGTGGCCTGAGTAGCAAGAACATAAGGATCATTTGCATACCATTTTTTCCCAAAATTAACACTTGTGAAATACTTATCACAGCGAGCTGTCCTAGAATCAAACCATTCACACCCAAATAAAAGAACTTGGTAGTTCCCCCTATATCTTAGCTGCATGACTTCTTTAACAATTCCATAGAAGTCTATAATTTCATTATTGTGCTCTCCCTCAGTACGTATACCACTATTTTGTGTCTTTTGACGACTATCACGCTCCTTAGTTAGGAACTTAACTCCATTGACTATACAACCGGGATACACGGTGGTACGAATATCTGGCCCCATTGCAAGTGAATATAGATCTTTATTCGCTTGACAGTCTCCTTGATCATGCAAGTTCTTCATCTGCATAAATAACAGTTAGTGAACATCAAAATTTTAGTCTTAAAGCAATCTTCTCCTTATTAATAAGAAGAGCATAGCTTACTTTTTTTCTAAACCATAATGGAAATTCAACTTTCTGTCTCTCAAAGAGGTTTGATGGATTTCTTCTTTTTAGCTCTTCCTCATGCTCACTGTTCATAGTGCATAATTAGAAACTGCATTTCTCAAATTGCTCAACTAAATTATTGGTAAAAAGATTTACTTACAGCAAAAATGGTCGCAATTCATCACAATTGTCAAGAACATACCAATGGACCAAATTATATTGATCCCTAGTCAAAGTGGCACCTAGAGGCGCTCCAATTGGACGAATTTTATGGGAAAATATGGATAACCTGTCATGAGCAGGATTTTCTCCATCATAATACCTATCCGATCGATTGAATTTTGTCTCAATTCCATCAAGATATAAGGAGCAGAAAGTTAAACTTTCATTGACAATATATGTTTCTGCAATTGAACCCTCTGGATAGGCTTTGTTTTTCACAGTTCCTTTGAGACTTCCTAGGTACCTAAATGTGTAAAAAAACTGTTATAAGCATATATAGCAGTTAGTGATCTAACTTAGCTAATATATTTTTAGGAAGTCATATTAAGAAGAATCATACTTACCTTTCAAAAGGGTACATCCACCTATGTTGGACAGGCCCTCCAAGTTTGGCTTCACGGGGTAAGTGAACAGCTAAATGGATCATAATATCGAAAAAAGCTGGTGGAAAGATCATTTCCAACTTGCACAATATCATTACTATGTTCTTTTCTAATTTCTCAATCTCTTCCAATCTAAGCTTTTTTGAACACAGATCTTGAAAGAACTTGGCTACTTCACATATTAAAGTATACATATCTGTTGACAAGAATCCGCGCAATCCGACAGGAAGCATTCGTTGCAAAAGAATGTGACAATCATGGCTCTTTAATCCTGATATCTTACCATCTTTTATGTTGACACATCTTGATATGTTAGCTGCATAGCTATCAGGATACTTCACTGAACTCAAAAATTCACAAAAACCTTGTCGCTCTTTTGGTAACAGATTATAGCATGCTTGTGGCTTTTCAAGCTTGCCATTTCTTCGATGTAAGTGTAGCTCATGCCGAATGTCCATGTCCTCCAAATCCCGCCGAGCTTTATCTGTATCCTTTGACTTGTTTTCTAAGTTAAGCAAAGTCCCCATAATATTATCACACCAATTCTTAGCAGTGTGCATAACATCGATGTTGTGTTTTAGTAGAATATCTTTCCAATATGGTAATTGGTAAAATATGCTCTTCTTAGTCCAGTTTCTTTCTTCAAGACTGCGCTTCCTTTTCTTAGTATTTGGATTTTTTTCCAAGTGTTACACCCTCAACAACTTGTAATTGTTCAAGAATTTCTTCACCTGACAATTCCCGTGGTTTCAACCTTCTCTCTACCCTACCATTAAATTTTTTGCCATTATTTCGCCACACATGATTATCAGGCAAAAAGCGACGGTGGCCCAAGTAACCAATCTTGTTTCTCAATGACTGATAGTCCGTTTCATCATTGCAGCAAGGGCATGCCATTTTTCCCTTGGTCACCCAACCAGATAAGTCCCCATAAGCCGGAAAGTCATTTATAGTCCACATAAGTGCTGCATGTAGAAGGAAGCATTGTTCAGTCACAGAATCATATGTCCAAACCCCTTTGAACAATTCTAACAGTTTATCAATCAAAGGTTGCAAAAACACGTCAATATCCTTTCCCGGTGACCGACGACCTGGAATAAGTAGTGACAAGAAGAAATAAGGCTCCCTTTTTGATACCCATGGTGGCATATTATAGTTTATGAGCACCACTGGCCACATACTATAGGAGTTACACATATTATTGAAAGGGTTGAAACCATCACTTGACAATGCAAGACGAACATTTCAAGCATCTTCAGCAAACCATGGAAATTTCTTATCAAACTCTTTCCATGATTCACCATCTGCTGGATGACTTAAGACCCCTATTTCTTCAACTCATTTTTCCTTGTGCCATCTCATATAAGATGCTATTTTTCTTGACATAAATAGTCTCTGCAGTCTTGGTTTCAAAGGAAAGTAGCGAAGAATCTTCTGAGGAATTTTTTTACTTTTGCCATCATTTATTTTCCATCTAGATTGAAAACATTTTGGACAATGATCCAATCCTTCATATTCCTTCCAAAAGAGAACACAGTCATTCTTGCATGCATGAATCAGGTCACATCGCAACCCAATGCCCCCCAATAACTTTCTTGAATCATAGTAAGAGGATGGAAGTAAGTTATCATCGGGGTAGGAGTCCTTCAATAGTTGAAGAAGCATGGTAAAAGATTTATTACTCCATCGATTGAGTACCTTCAAGTGTAGCAATTTTACAACAAAAAGTAATATTGAATACTTTTTGCAGCTAGGATATAAGGCCCGCTTAGCATCTTTAAATAATCTATCAAATTTTTCTAACTCATCTTCTTTTCTAGAAGAAACCTCCTTATTACTCCCACCATTTAATTCTTCTTCATTAAAGGTCCCCCAATAGATGTCTTCTAAAATTTCTTGCATTTCGTCATCATTTACTTCTGCATTGTTAGCATTAATTTCATGCTCATTATCACAACATGAATGAACATTTGAATTTTCATTAGGTAGAGTTTCCCCATGAAATTTCCAATATGTATAAGTACTATCCATCCCCTTATACAGCAGATGACTCTCAACAACATGAACAGAGTAGTACTTCACATTTCTGCATTTTCTGCATGGACATCTAATCTTTGGTTTATCACCTTTGTGCTGTTTTGCCATTGTCAAAAATTTCTCTAGTCCATTCCTATATTCATCACACCATCTATCAGCCAGGAACATCCAACCCTTATCCAGTTTTCCTCCTATCATATGAACTACATGCTATACCAAGGTGCAAGTTTAGATGACAAGCCTTCCCAGAGGAATTGTGTTGGAAAAATAGCACTGAAATTCAAAAAGATGATAATTATAAAGAACTAGTTAAATAAAGCATAATATGTCCATAAAAAACAAAAGCATATGCATTCACAATATCACAAGTTAGATCCAAATAATGGCAGTTTCACTTCAAATAAAAATCAAACTTGAGGACTGTAATGCACTTACCATGAAGGACCGCTCAAGAAGATTAATAAAATGCTAGAACTTGAACTCTTTATGCTTCCTGCATCCAATGTCCCTAGTCATTGAATAAAATGTTGATTAACAATAATTGTACTAAGCCTTGAGAGCATTGGAATGGGTCCTTTTATTACTTTTTAGAAAAAAAATGAAACCAATTATATATTTGTGATGTTTTGGGAACAAAGCCAACATAAATCTCTCAAAGAATTGAAAAAAAAAACTCTCAAAGAATAATCCAGACATCTCATCATAAACAAAATGAAACTACTTTCCTATTAACTGTGCAAAAATCAATACAAACCGACAGAGATGTCTTTATTCACATGCAAGATGTATGAAAAAAAGTGCATATGGTACGGTGAGTTGTTAGCTATGGACCCAAGATGAGGGCAAATTATGAATGATGGAAAGTCATTATTATTGGTGTTTGGATTTTGGGGCTTTGGATTGTGAGAAGAAGCTACGTCTGCAACTAGTCATGGAAACCTACCGACAGAAACACAAGCTGTAAAAACTAGAGAGTTCCAAAGAAGTTGTTGGAAACACAGCTAGAAACAGAGGAAAAACAGAGCAATGAAATCACTTCAAGAAAGTAGTTCATGACCAATCGTCTTCTTTCCAGAAAACAATTCGTCATTCATGTTCTGCATCCTGGAAGGCCTAATGTTTCCAAGGCTGAGTTGAAGGAGAAATTGGCTAGGATGTATGATGTCAAGGACCCAAATGCCATCTTTGTTTTCAAGTCCGGGAAGCATTTTGGAGGTGGCAAATCAACTGGGTTTGGATAGTATATTAAGTACGAAAAAAATGGCTCCTCATCATCAAATATCCAAAGGAACAACGTTAATCTTTCTAATGATGCTTGCTCTTTGTGCATTTCCCACGAGTTTGAACACACGAGTTCTGTTGCAGAAGAAGGATGGTGAAATTGACAGCACAACTACGTTTCAGAAAATGGGCTTTGATCTCTCGGCTTTACCAGGTTAGATCTATCCAAATGCAGTTGATCGAGTAATAGATCTATCCAACTAAGAAGCATTTCAGAAAAGATGCTGGGAAGCATTTTGATCGAGTATGAAAAAGCATACCTAGTTAGAGACTGTTGCAGAGAGAATTGATAGATACTAAGAAGGAAAAAGAAGGAAATTTTGGAAGTGGAGACTTTTATCTCTGCGGCAGACAATTTTTATATTCTTGGTTTTTTAGTTTTAAATCCTATTAAGATCTTGTTTGGTGGTAATTTTTGGTTTTGGCAAGAAAAACACCACATCCTCTCTGTTGCTTAAACAAGTAGACGACCACATCCTCCCAAAAGAGGGTACACCAGCTGCAATTCCATCATTTCTCACCAATAACATAAAAACTTTGGCCCACTACAATTAGTATTTGGAGGGAAGCTTTCCCGCGTTGCTTTTGGCGAGGCTACTAGGCAAGAAAAGTGATAGCCCTCGCTAGGTGTAGGCTAGCTCCAATTTTTGGTGAGGCCTTGTTTTTTTTGTTGCTATAAGCCTCTTAATAGCGTCAAACCTCCTATTTCATGCTAAAATTGTTGTTGCTAATGCCCTTTCTTGTTGTAGTGTAGATAAGTGTTAGCGCATGCAAATAGAACAAATGTCCTCATTTGTTGATACCACATGCAAGGAGAGGGTAGGTGGCGAGACACTTGGAAATCTAGGAAAATTTGGAAACAAAAAGCAAAGGGAAAAGCAAAGGAGAGGTGACGGGCAAGAAACTAGAAAAAAGGGAAGAAAGTAAAAAAGGGGGGCTCTCGGCTGAGGAAAAAAAAGGAACCAAAACAAGACTAGGAAAACTGGGAAAAAATAACAGAAACAAAACAGAAGGAAGGGAGGGGGCGAGAAAGTCTTTGGCGGAGGGAGCAAAAAAATAAAGAAGCGGGAGAGGGTTTTGGGAAAAAAAGGGAACTGAGGGAAGGAAAAAAGGAGAGGGTTTTGGAGAGGAAGAGATAGAGAGGAACCAAGAGTGAGAGGTAGAGGGCGGGTTGCTGAGCAAGCAAGGGAGAGGAAAACAAGAACAAGGGAGGATCTGGGGAGATCAAATAAAAGAAAAAAACAGAAAGAGAGAGAAACGGAAAAAGGAAAACCAGAAAAGAAGAAAAAAAGAGGGTTTCGTGAGAGAAAAAGGAAGGGAAAAAGAAAGAGAAAAGGGAAGAAATCAGAAAGGGGAACGCTTGGGGGGGAATCTGGGGACGAAAGAGGAAGATCAGTAGATAGAACAGAGCAAAAACAAAGAGAAAACGTGTGAAGAAATTTTCCCAGAAAATTCGCTATTCAGGCTGATTTTTTGCCATTTTGGGAGGCGATATTCACCATTAAATCGGCTACTTCTTGGAGATTTTAGGCGATCTGGAACATCTACTGAGGTAGATCTTGAACTTTTGAAAAAATAACGTCGGGAAGATGCCCAAATCATTGCTCAAAGTAGCCTGCTCACCAAGGCTGCAATCTCTGCGACGAAAGCTCTCGATCGCGTTTCTTGGAATCGGCACACATTTCTGGGCAGATCTCACGCTCATTCAACTGTGCTAATATCCTCAGGTAACAAATGACTCTTGTTTTGTGGGTTTAAACATGTTTTTATGAAAGATAAGGCCACAGATGTGAATCTTTTGAATATTTGCTGCTGTTTTGAGTTTTTTGCTGGTTCTGTGTGTTGGCCATGTTGTTTGGTTGATAAGATCTGATTCAATAAGAGTTCATGGGATGAGTCTTATTAAGAAAATGCGTTTAGGGTTTCCTATGGGGTTATCTGATGAATCCATGAGTCTTTACTTGATGTTTATGGCTGGTCTTCATGTGTTTAAACAAGCAACCTAGAAAAATGGCTTAAAACTTCGGGTAAGTCTGTTCTGATGCTCCCTTGATCGCAGCTCCTCCTTTTCTTGTTGTTTGTGTAATTTTGATGGTGGGTTTTAGTGTTAAATGGAGTGAGTTGCAAGTTTTTTTGCTTGGAGATTGATTCGCATGATTTACACATTTGATAAGAAAGCCCAGAAACCTGTGAATGAGCTCGGAACTTGCCAGCTTTTCCCATCTTAGATTTCCGTTGTTTGCATGTTTAATCTTGTGTTTGATGAGGGTTTATGGAATCTGATGAATGTTGGGTTCGAAGCTTTGTTTCAAATTTTTGCAAGTTGCCTGGGTTACTAAATGGCTTGATGTTGCAGAAATAAGAACAGGAAAGCTTCGTAGGCTGCATGAAACTTTCCAGAAATTGCACTTTTACCCCAAATATTTTGACTAATGCTATTATATCCCAGAAAATTGGAAAATTTAATCAACTGTGTTCCTTTAATATGTTATTATTCTTTGGCATGCTCAAATGTGATTTTTGGACAGATTATGTGTGAAATTTGGAGGTTTAATAATTTTTGATAAGTTTATTGTTTTGATTTGGATTTTTAGTGAAATTTTGAGTAATTTTGTTATTTAATTATAACAAATGAATTTTCATTTATTTTTTGTGGATTTTAACATTTAATCTTGATAGGCTTCATCTTAGGCCTTAATTTTATTATTTTCATTTAGACCCTTAATATTTATAAAAATAGTGATTTGACCCCTAAAATTCTTTAATTCTTTCAATTGGGTCCTTATTTGTCTTAATTTGTTAAATATGAGTAGTTTACATTCCTTGGAATGCTTTGATTGATTCAATTTCGTGTTTATTTCCATTTTTTGTGATTATATGTTAATTAAAGTGATGCCTTGACCCTTTTCTTTGTGTTGGAGGGTAAATAAGAAAAATTTCATTTCTTTAGGTTATCAATTCAAGGGAGGTACACTCTATTCCTTTATTTTGATTTTACTTGATTCTATGTGCTACTATGTAATTTTATGTGTAATTGCATGCTTGTTTGAATATTTTTTATTATTTCATTTATTTCTTTATTTACTTTATTTATTTTAATTTTGTATATTTATTTTAATTCAATTTTGGTTATTTGGGAAGCATTTAAATGCCAAGATGTAATAGTTAGATATTTATTTTATTATTTATTTTACTCTTTCCCCCTTTAGACTGTAGTTAGGCCCCCAATATAATAGTTAGGTCTTTATTTGCTTTATTTATTTTGTGTGTTTTGTATGCCTATATGTTTACATGTTTACTCGCTTTCCTAGGGTCTTGCATCTAGATATCATACTTATGTGGTATGTGATTTATGTGTTTATTTGATTTATATGATTTATTTGATTATAATAAATGCATGACGTCACCACACTAGTCCAACGCTAGTTGTGGCATTTTTTCCGATTCCACACTAGTCCAATGCTAGTTGTGGCCCTCTTTTACGATTTCTCACTAGTCCAATGTTAGTGAGAACTTATAAACATGGGTTAGTTCAACGCTAGACCCTTAGAGACCGGCCACGCACTAGATCGTGTTTGTGTGACAATCATTACATTTTCATGCATATTTTTTACATTTTAGGGTTTCTTTCATTTTGCATGACATTTTCCTTATATGTATATCGCTTTTCCCATATTCCCACTATATGTATATCCCTTATCCCATATTTTTCCTATATGTATATTTCTTACCCCTATATGTGAAACATGACATGTAAACTTGCATTCCATTTAAGAAAATTAGAACTACATTAGATCATTTGTTTGATTAGATAGGAAAATACCCCTCGAATATGGGATATGAACGAGTATGACTCTCTAACCTTAGCACGCTCGTATTCCCTCTATTAAAGGGAAAACTAAAGTCACGAATTTTTA